TTCTTGAGGATGGTCAAAAGCACTTGTCTCAGAAATAACAACATATCTCTTTACCTGAAACTGAGGTTAATGTACAGAGATATATTTTTTTTCTGAGACAAGTTCGTGCGTGGATGATGAATAAATGACAGGAAATTCAACTTCACCGTAATAACTATTATATTGTAGTGATACAAATCAGTATACACTGATTTGTTGTTTATATTATATTAAAATAACAGTTACATATATATATGATTTGAATTCATTTGTATATCATTCTATTCTACTATTCTAAAAATAGTGCAATGCAAGTGCATGGTGGACACTTTTCTGTAAAAATTCGATTTTTCTAAGATTTAATACGAGTAGGCATTCATATTTTCCCGCAAAAACAATTACAGAGTTACCGGTCCTTGACGGTATTTTCACAAAACGTTCTTTGAGATATTCTTCCGCATGCTTTAACACAATTTTTCGGTACGTGTGCATTGATATTATCAATGATTTTTTACTTATATATATATCTAACTACAAAACATTTTCATATTATTAATTTATGTTGTAAACAAAAATATTTTTATCGGTATTCATTGAAGAGATGTATTTATATCAAACGATAAGGAATGTTATTTTGCACTCGTTTATGTGCGCATATTTATCATGTTTATAGATCGGTTACAAACCCAAAACTAATTTACATAATGGAAATCTAGGCCATAGCAATACATCGGAATGACCTCAAGGTCATCGCGATGTAAAAAGTTAACAGTTATAGGTCAAAGTACGGCCTTCAACACGGAGCCTTGGCTCACACCGAACAGCAAGCTATAAAGGGCCCCAAAATGACTATTATTAGTTTGAATGAGGGTTTGTAACAGTGGTTCCCAAACATAAGTTGTGCAGATAATGAAGTTTTGAAAGGGGTAATGAATAAAGCTTCGTGCGAATGTGATGAATACCTAACGGCTTTTGTATAAACGGAATGCTATCCAAGCATTAAATTCGTCTAGCCAAAAATTGTACCTTCTATTGGTAAACCAACAAAAGTGTCTATTGACAACCCTGGCGTTTTTCTTTCGAAGATCCTTGTTGAAGTGTTTTGCCATTTGACTAAATAAATGTTTTTGAAAAAAGCGTCGAATTTTTCACTGTTCACTACGGCAGATTTTCTGTTGGTTAATCAGAACTTTCTGATGGTTGCCCTTCACTTTCGCTTCTACAGTCCTATTTCTTAACTTTCAACCTCTGAACTTTAACATGTGTTTTCTAACATTTCTCACTCCTATATTGATAGTTCCAACTGTACACGTGACAATAAAAATGAAGCATACATCAGGCCATTAGTTTTATCGTTTGAATTGTTTTATTGAATATGTCATTTTGGGGCCTTTTATATAATGCTATGCATGCTCATTGTTGAAGGCAACGATTGAGTGAATTTTTAGGACTTTTGCCGACGCTGAAACGTTTAATATTCAAATTGATGTAAGGTGCTAATTTGTTTGGCTTATTGTTGATCAAGAAACTATGCACATTAAATACGCCTTAAAATTATTGATTGTTTGTTTACGTGCCAAATATTCTTTTCTCCACTCATGAAACAAATTTTTGATGAAGTATTAGTATAATATTTATTATTTTTTTATTAAAAGTACGGTTTCAACACTATAATATATTGAAAGATGTTCTAAGACAGTTCCGCCTTTTCAATTTTCAAGTCCAGTTGCTTTCAACAATTTATCAAAAATGCGTAAATGAAAAAAGTACCATAATCTTACTACTTTGATGGATGATTTCTTCAGTACTAACTATTAGCCAGCAAGTATATCTAACCAATATAGATAAATAGAAAGCACACTTTTACGGCATCAGACTATACAAAGAATAAGAACAGTGGAATAATTGATAATGATACAACCAAATATAGTACCATTTGTAACAAAAACTATTGATTGAAACAAATACGAAGCCTTTTATAGACAAGACTGATTCATTTATCCACAGAATAAATTGTGTCAAAGCTAAATTCGTTTTAAACAAAAAAATCAAGAGGACTGTTAAGTTAATGTAAGTGACAAAGGGACGAACGGAAGTACTTGTATGTTTTTCGTAAAAATACAATTATAGAATTTTATCATTTTTTTACAACACAGTAATGAAACTATTACTGTAAAAATAATTGTGTAGATAGAATAAAAAATAGACGATTTTCATTACAATTACATATCGATATAGACACGGTATACAATAAATAATGTTTAATCAACGATTTTAGAAATCACGTGTTCATGCTTGATAACAGTGGATGATCAGGAGTAATAATCAATTACTGACTTTTTTCACAATAGGTGTGACGTAAGCACGATTGACAGTTCTGACACACTGCAAGTTTTACATGTTAAATAGACACATTTTTGGACAAAAATAGTGCTTATTTGGGTAAGTTTTTCATTATATTATGGAGAGAGAGAGAGAGAGTTGATATTATATGTATTTGGAGTAATAAAAAGCTTATTGGAACATTTTTAAAAAATACAGTGTATATGTATCATTATAGTGTACATTGTACGATAATTGTAATTGTATGTAATCTGCAATTTCATGTTATTTAAAAAACCCCTGAAAAAGAACAATGAACATTGCTCAGTAACATTGTCATCAAATGCAGAACATCAATGATCATAACTTCATTATGTGTTTAAACATTGAAATGTTATTACGAAAGCAGAATTAAAATTTTGTACCCTAGACGCTCGTTTTGTCTACAAAAGACTTCAGCAACCAACAATCAATCAATCTACAAAAGACTCATCAGTGACGATGGAATCAAAAAAGTTAAAAAGGCCAAATAAAGTAAGAAGTTGAAGAGCATTGAGGACCCAAAATTCCGAAAGGTTTTGCCAATTAAAGCTAAGGTTATCTATTCATGGAGTAGAAAATCCTTAGTATTTCGAAAAAATCGGTTGTTTTGTAAACAGTTAATTCATAATTAACCATACCACTGATAAAATCATGTCAACACTGCATGTAAAAGGGAAAAATAGCGAGGTCACTTAACTAGCGATTCACACTTAAAATGTAGTGAATCTTTAGAATATCAGAGATGTTTATTTTTTAATTAAAAGAATCTCAGACTGCATTTTATACACAGTCTTATACATGAATATAAAAAACATTAAAAGAAAATTACAGAAAAATGTCGCATATTGATATTTTAAACAAATCACATTGTATAAAATATGTGATAAAATAATAAGGTATTATTTATAATTGACAGTCTGTTGACAAACCCAACTATCCGAATCAATGTTTTCTTAAAAAACAGTATTTTTGGGGTCTGCTAACAAAATTTCTTCTCGATTACTTTCATGTGTTTTTCAGCAATCTATACCGCGTTTTTGAGCTATAATTGCTAAGCTTTTTTACTGTGAATCATACGTGGACTTTTAAATTTAGATTAGACACAAAGTTTCTCTCTCCAGATAATGGAGTTGCAACATTTGATTAATTAACCTTTACTCGGGTATAAATAACGCTTTAAAGTACAAGTCCTGTGATTGAAGGAAATAATAAGAACAAAGTTTAGAAAAGAGCAATGCAGATATTACGAATATCGTGTTATCTAATTAAATTTAAAACTCTCTGATTTTAACCAATATTTGTCTGACATAGACATCGCGAAGACATTATTGTATTACAACATATTAGGTTTGTTAGGAATGGACCTTTTGATAGTCTCGTTTTTATCGGAACCGTCTGTACTCCACTCTTCGACGACTGTACGTTTATTCAAAATTAGGTTTCATGTAAGGGATTCTCAAGAGGAATGAAAAAAGCAAGTTCCATTCATTCGGCTGTTGTCTGCTCTATGGTCGGGTTGTTGTCTCTTTGACACATTCCCCATTTCCATTCTCAATTTTATTAAACTACACTTTCCGCTTTAAAGATGGCATTCGCAATGAATCGCTCAAATTAGGTGACTCTGTAGATCGCATTTATCAAATTGTGCTAGAGGGATTTTAAAGTATTCCATGAATATAGTTTTTCCCATTTCACTTCTTGACTACATCTTGAAATTGGTTTTGTATTCAGTTTAGAACTGAAATTTTCTAAAAAAAAGAGATAACTTCAACTCTCACAAAGTGAACTAATCATATTGAAGTAGTAACATTCAATCAGCGTATGCATTTAAAGTACATCATGTCGCTAACACGGTATTTCTGAATTTCGTTGATAAATAATATTAGTAGCACATCAACCAAGGGTAAATTACCCTTTGAAAAACAGGAGTTAATCTGCTTACAATAAGAAAATATGAAGACGTGCTATGCTTGACAATGAAACAACTATTCACCAGAAGGCAAATTCATACAACTATAGGACACATTACGACCTTCAACAATGAAAAACCCGTATAGTAAGATATAAAAGGTCCGGCATTACAATATAAAATAAGGAGATATGGTACGATTATCCGACAGAATCCAAATGTTTCATGAAAAATATTTGCAGTCACATCGTTAATAAGTATTCAGTAAAGCATTAGAGAATGAGAGTAACAGATGAAGTTTATCCGAATTTCATTTGAAAAATACAGATATTTACACATGATATTGTGTGTCACTCATATAACTAGGTCGTGACCTACTGCACCAAACCATGACAAAATCACTACGCTAAACATTACTCGGCATGGCAACGCTGCTACTCGAGTCCGTTGGACGGATGTGTTATAAAGAGAAACACATTCTTCATGAGCGTAATCAGTTTATGATCTACTTCTTTTATAACGTTTATATTGCTAGTGTAATTGTATTCAACCGAACAACGAACAATATTGGCAATTGGTTTCGATCTATCATATCAATAGAAAAGAATTAGCACATTTCATATATCCTGTTCATAACAAACTCTTAGAAAACGATTTTTGATTTATGCGACAAACTATTGGCTAAGAAAATTTAAGGAATCATCTGGTTAAGTTTAAAATGGATTTATCGCTGTCGACTTTACAATAACTTTGATAAGGATTAGTCAATAACTCTAATGGTGTAGTCCGTTCTCCATTAAGATAAATTGCCTCCATCGATGATATATTCCTTGTAGGGATTCAATTAACTCCAGTTTCTCGGTTATTGAAAAGGTAAGCAACTTTAATTCAAATGTATGATAAATTTTTATATTATTATTTTAGTATGTATACGTTTGTCTTAAAAGTTTTTCAATTATAAGTTTTCATATTTTGAATTTGACGAGTCAGTTATGACCAAAACCGGAAAGAAAAAAGCTAACATACACAGTTTATATTATATACTCCATGATACCATCAAATTTATCATAGTCTAACGTAAAATAAGGTTAAATTACTGATTAACGCCCCCTCCTAAATCATTTTAAGCTTTTATTTTGCAATGACCATAATATCCTGGTGTAAATTAGATATACCCATTCATTGGTTGTATCTACACGCAATACAATGAAGGAAATTAAATGCTATCACGTGACAGTATAGTTTTCGTTATGTTCATCAGGAAAACTATTAATGCAAGACGGATCCAAAAACTTTGAAACTACGAAATGAAGAATTAATGCAGGTTCAAACGAACCAAGAAAAGTGGTGCACTCGAATTCAGAATTTCGTGTTATTCCATATACCATCGAACAGTACAGATAGATAAAATTGTTTCTATTTTTAAATAATGTGTCTAGAAATAATATGAGTACATGGATGTTGGTCATTGATTCGTTGGTTTTCTTACATTGTTCAAGCCCATGTTTTAGTACGGACTATTTTGGAATACTAGATGTTTAATTACGGATAAAACACTTTAATGGTAAAAATAGTATCTCTTGCGATTAAATATTCTGAATGACAATGGTAAACATACGTCATTCAAATAACTGATACTTACTGCGCAGAAATGATAAAATTTAATTGATATAACTTATTTATTTTTAGAAATGAATGGGAATGGTTTATTACTGGAACAAAACATTTAAAGAACAACACATAAAGGCATTCAGATCATCATAAATTGTGTAATCCTGTAATTCAAAAAAAAAAAAAAAAAAAATTTGAAAATTGACAAATTCAGCAGATAACGTTCGAAAATCAACCACGATTATAACAATGCCACGCGTTCATCCGAACGAAAAGAAAGACGAGAAAAGTAAACGATTCAGGCTAAAATCGAAGTCTTCTGAGTCAAAGGAAGAAAGTTCGGAGTCGGAAGAAAGTTTATACAACTCTTGGAAAAATAAACTGAAGAGACTCAAACGAAACAGAAGAATAAACAAGACTGAAAAAGATAATCAGCTCCAAACAGCGGAAAAATCAAAACCTAATGGAAGTAATCCTATTAAAGGCAATGTAAAGACTAAATCGAGGAAAAAAAATAAAGAAAATGGAGAAGTTGACTGGGAAAGTAAAACACCATTTGTTTTTACCTTTTCCCCAAACAGTTTCCCACCGATTGCAGAAGCAGAAGAAACGTTCTTTATTGAGGACAATATTCAAGGTAAGCTTGCTGTTGTTACCTTATCTATGCATACACATTTATTAACATTTTCATATATAACAATTGCTGGACTCTTTTATTGAAAATTCCTCTTTTTGTTTTGCATATTAGAAGAAAGGGTAATCACTCATAAACTTTGGGTTTACTTTTAGTGTTTATATACATTCTGGGCTTTAATTACTGAAGTTCAAGGATCTAGATTTTGTTCATTTTTCTTACTGTATGATAAGGATAATATGCATGGGTTAGATTCTATTACAATTTTATCGCTTAAACCAGATTTTAGTCGCGAAAATAATGTAATGTCCGTATAATGATTGTGTATCAGTGTTATGTATATAGGCTATTATAGCATGAGGTCATGCAAGTATAATAGTGATGGGCTTACCAAAGACATTGTGCTGTTTTCATCCAATTATAGTAAGAGGTTCGCAAATACTGTTATTATATGACTATAAAAGTTCTCTTTTCTCATGGGCTCAAAGTGTAGGGAATCTTCTTTGATTAAACGTTATATTCACCGCGGGAAAAATCACAAGAGGTCAATATAAGATTTAGAACAGCGTAACGTGTACTTATAAATAGTTTTTCCTAGTCAACGTCAATAACGTAGGCGTATCACGTCATGTAAATTCTCATTATTCTCCTTCTTTTTTTCGATGTTATTTTTTTTTTCGAATAAATCTTTTATTGAATATTTCAACTTATAAAACTTTAGCATCTGCCAAAGCAGATAATAGTTTAGTATAAAAGGAGCAGTTAAATATCTTGAACAAATACTAGAAATTGGAGAGTGATAAAAAAGTAATAAAATAAAACAATTGTTGACTTTTGATATCAGTTGATACTATACAATTACTGTCTTTTGATGAGGTAAATATGTAGTTTTATTGACTTTTGAAAAACTGATATTCACTGAGGCCAACGGCCGAAGTGAATATCAGTTTTTCAAAAGTCAATTAAACCACATATAATAATTTACCGAAACAAAAGACAGTTATTGTTTTATTCCATATTCCGAGAGAAATGTATGTAATTGCAATTATTTACAAAAACAATTGTACATCAAACGTTTTTTTACCAAAATTATGCACGTAAAAGCACGCGACGTTTTGCGCGGTGAATATACTTTTTCCGCAGGTGAATATGCTTATTTATTCAAAATCCCATTCATATAGAAAAGCCTACTAAAATCTTATCAATATGGAATAAAATGATTTATCAACCCCATATATGAGACATTCACTCTCGGTCGTTGGCCTCAGTGAACATCATATCTCTGGGGTTGATAAATCATTGTATCAACCTCATCAAAAATCAATAGTTGTATAATGTCTTCTTAAAAAACTATATATATTATAATTTGTATACAACACATTTACATATATTTCTTACTTAAATTAAAAATGTAAGATTGGCACTAATCATGGCACTGACTGTCAACCTGCATTGTGTTTATGACTGTCGTATAACAGTCTGTTTAGATAGTAGTTACATTTATCGACGTTCCCATTGTCTGTATCACTCTGCTCTGCTCTTCATAAAATTGCATATCAGGACTTTGTGACGTCAAATACGTTAACCCGGCCTAAATAACTTTGACCGACGTCATAATAAATGAACCGACGTTGATAAGTTTGGCCCAAACTTATCAAGTCATCTTCAGTTGAGCGGAAAAAGAAAAACACTTGTTTCTATTATGCAAACTACACACATACAATCCGACTTTTTCATATTTTATATTGTAAAATATCAGCTGCTAGACACAATATGAATCCGTTTTGAACTCGTTTGCTGCGCTCACTCAACGAAAAGCTTCATCTTGTGACTCGCAGCTGATATTTTACAATATCAATATGCAGACAACCTGATAATCGGTACGTATGTAGCCATTGTAGAACAGATAACTATCCAAATATCCAAAATGGAATGTGCCGAGGCAGTCTTGGTGTCTCGTCAATTATTCCTCGTTATCGTTACTGTTGCAAGTATATAAACCACAAAGTATTTGCATCCTTTAAAAAATAGAAATTCAAGTTTTATTTAAGGAATGACTGTAATATTTTTTCTGTCTAAGAAGAAATGCATAAAAATGTGGTGCAGACTGAATAATCCGCGTAGCGGGTTATTTAAAAGTGTGCACCACATTTTTTAGGTTATTTTGAATAGACAGAAAAAATACCACAGTCATTTCTAATGATTTAATTCTAAATTCCATTTTTTAGGAGTAAATCATAAAAAAAACGTTGATGACTTCACGGTCACATGACAAAGTTATGTGTATGAGCTGATAATCAAAAAACTTTCAGCCAATCAGAAGACGTGTTACATTCAAAATTAAATTAGTAACCAATGATCCTGCCCTTAGCGAAATGTTTAACCTTTTAAATCCTGTACTTTGTCAAAGACTTGGGTACTGATTGCCATGTCACCATATTTTCCCAGAGAACACCAACTCATTGAAGCCTATATACGGAAATAACGTGATTGACAAAAATACAGAAGCAATTAAGGTTTTATTTGCATCTTTGTTGTAGGCTAATATACATAAATTAATTTACCACAAATATTCGCATGAGAAAGGAAATAACACAGTCATGTGATGATTAGTTCAAGGGAAAAGTCAACACAAATAGAGAATCAAAAATGAAAAAAAAAATTCTTTGTGCTATCATGGTCAAGGATGGATTATAATTTGTACACCTCCGTCCTTCAAATAAAAAATGAAAAGATAATACAAGATATGATATATGGGGACACGTGTATTGATACAATAGAATTCGCGAACATCGATGTACGTGCTGAGAAAAAGGAAGTCGAAAATACATTAGACCTCTAATAAAATATTTTGACTAAGAGTGCATTTCTTTCTAGCACAAACGATGCAAACGGCTAAGCGGGCACATGTTTTGATCATTTGTTTCTAACATACGTTTGCAAAGTTTACATAAACTTTGACAAACTATGCACTCGCTAAAAGTGCGTCTACAGTTTGTCTTTCATCGTTTGTTAGTACGAACGCTACATTTGTTTCTAACTTCAACCTTGAATTTAAGTAAAATTATAAGAAAACATTGGAACAATCTGCAAAAAGACAAACAATGCAGTGAAATCTTCGCCCTAGTGCCTATCATATCGTATAAACGTAACAAAAATATGAAAGAATAACTTGCTAAATCAAGGCAATAGTTGGGAGACTTTGAAAAGGGATCAATGCTTTAACAGTCTAAGCAAAAAATCCCGAAACACTGTTAGTAATAATCTTAATTATAGGCAACAAACTTTCATACATATGAAATAGAAAAAAACGGTGTAAAGTCTTGAGATTTATTACTATGTTGGTTGAAGGAACCGCATTTAGTTATAGCCGCGTAATAAGTCTGTTTACCAACAACATGTGCATGCATTATTGGAAGTTCAAAACAGGGACAGTAAACACTGATTAAACGATGTATTTGTTTCTACTTTTGTATAGCGTTTAGCAAACGATAACAAACGCCACACAACTTTTACAAAATTTAGGTTAGAAAGAAATGCACTCTAAATATGCAATGGGTAGGAGAACTGTTAGTATACAATGATTGTTTACTATAAATCTTGATTTAACATTAAGGTTATACATTTCTAATACGTGATCTTTATTATATTAATAGGACGTATTGAATTTAACCAATTGTATATGGAGCACGGGAGCGGATCCAGATCATCAATAATTTCCCATGATATCGGTTGCTATTCTTTGACATTTTTGAATTTTTCTAAAAGCCTCGTTGTTTTGGTTTATGCGGAAATTCTGAAAACGATATAATACTAGACTTGGTTGATTCTGAAAACGATATAATACTTGACTTGGTTGATACCACTTCTTCATATCTTTCATATTAAACAGCAATATCTTATCATACTCCAGCCAAATAGCAAATTTCTTCCTTTTTACTAGTGTTTCTCAATTGTTTTTCATCATCCTTTACACATATACTGGTCACCATTTCACCAATATTTCAAACAAAAATAGCTTGTTGCATGATCCAAACATTAACTACTTAGCCTCCTCCGTACAAGTTGGATATTCGACACCGCCCCAACAATAAGATTGGTCAATTATCATTTTGACCGTTCCTCGAATGTATTTGTGGTTCAATTCATAAACTTGAAACATAACTTCCAAATCGTAATGGATTCCAGTGATAGTTATGCCAGACAATTGAATAGTCGAAGAAGTAAATACACCAGACGGCAAGGACATTGCTACAAATTTTAATTAGAAAATGACTTGTCTGTGAATTCTCACACGACATCTATCTGTAATGATTAAAGCGTTGCAAGACATCTGTCGCATCCCAGGCCGAATAAGGTGCTTTTTCTCACCAGGTTCAAAAAGGTGCAATTTTTGTTTGAAAATTACATAATTCATTTAATAACTGCTTGATAGAGGAACTTGATATTGTCATTTACCATGGATATTCATATGCCACGTTGACATTTACTATAAAGTATAAAGAAAAATCCTTTCAAATAATTTTTCTGTTTTATAATACTTTATATAAGACGAGGACCTGGATCTTTATTTACTCTAGAGGATACGAAAATTATATGTGTCCTTACATACTGTCTTTGCAAATTTTTGCATGAATTGTTTCACGCAATATCTGTCAAATTCCTTAAATCTCTTCATTACTTTACGGATGATGTGAATTGTGTTTGGATTAATATTACACAAATCTTTGACTACATATGTTGATCTTCCAATAGGAATACTAGTAAACCATTAACCCAGTGCATTTACATAAGGTTCATTATCCTAAACGGTATAGGTAAATTGAATGAATTTATACAACTGTGTTTCAAATAAAACTAAAAATATCTTCATTGTGCAAGGAATAAAAAAATCTTATTGTTAAAACCACTTTGATGTAAACCAAAAGTGCTGATTTATTTGATTAATTAGAACTGACATTCTCTACTGCATCAAGTGTAAAACGCGAGACAGTTAGATTTTC